AGTAAAATATATTCTAAATCTGCCCAGTTCTCGTCACCTCCATCACTACCACCCTGGCCCACCCACCCTCCTCTATGGCTTGGACAGTTGCAGGAGTACCCTAACTTGTCTTCCGGACTACCATCTGCGCTCGGCTCCAGTTTATTTCCCACTCAGTAGCTCAATGGAGCCACTTAAAGTATAGGGCAGATCTGGTTACTTCTCAGCTCCAAGCTGTCCAGTGACTCGCCATTTCACTCAAAATAAAGCCTGGTCTTAGAAGCTTTAACTCTCAACTCCTTGGATTTCACCTCCTACCACTTCACTCAGCTCTCTCAGCCTCAGCAACACCAGCTGGTGTTTGAGCACAGCCGGTCAGCGTGCGCCTGCCTCGGGCATGTGGCACATGCGTCCTGCTCCTGAAGGCTCTGAGCTTAGTCCAGTCCAGGATCTGCCCAAATGTCTTCTCATCAGAGGGACTTCCCCCAACTCCACACACACACACACACACACACACACACACACACACACACACACGTGCACGCACACACACACCATAGTCTCTGACCCTCTACTTTTACCCCTTATCAATAACTGACATATTACACTTACTTGATTGTTTATCTTTTCTACCCCTCTCCCGTTGAATGTAAGTGCTATAAAAACAGAATCTTTTCCCTCCCATTTATTCTCATTGCTGGAGAGAGCTTGGCACATAATAGGTACTCAATATGTATTTGTTGAATTAGTGAATAAATGAATGAATAAATCAATCAGCCAATCAATGGAAATGTCAAAGCATCTCAATCCCAACAAAAGGGATTTTTCCCCCCGCAAGAGCTTCCCATTGCTTTGCCCTATTTCTTTTCTCTCTGCCTCTCTGGGTTGGCTCCAAGATAAACTCATCATATAAAATCATTTTGAGCAAGGTGAATCCTTAGGCCCCTATGGCAGATATAACCCCAAATGCCATACCGTTCCCTGTACGTTTGTTTCCAACCTCCTTCCCCACATGTTGGCCATGAGGAAGCAGCTGTGGTGCTTTCTTCTCCCCTCCCCTTTTCATTTCCAGGAATGTCTCCTTGGCTCTCGCCCCCATCTTTCGGAAGATGGAGGCAATGTGGGGAGAATCAGCAGCTGCCTACCTCCACCTCTGCCTCCTCCATCCAAAGTCACCCATCAACATACGGACTTCCCCAGCCTGACCTGGCCCTTGCACTCCAGGACTGGCCAGGTCTACCTGTACCACATTAGGATTTTTGTTCACTGCACAGCAAAAGCAGAGATTATAAAAGTATGGACAGGAAGAAATATACCTTATTTTGTTGATTCTAAGATGCCCCTGCCTGCTCCCCGCCCCATTTTACATCTCTAACATCAGGAATTGTCTTTTGTTGGTGTTGAGCTGGTTGAAGTCCCTAAGAAGTTACTATACCCCAGGCCTGCGCCAACTTAGTTTCTTTACCATTCCTAGGGCATGCCTGGTCATCTATGTCCCTCAGCATTCCAGGCCATAGGCCTTTGAAGACCATTTGAAGATGGACATAAACCTGGCCATTGTGTAAAAATCTTGGGTAAGCTACACATAAACAAAACCCAGCAGCATCGAGCCAGGCAGAATGGAAGAGCAGCAACGTGGATGACCTCGGGGCACTTCTGTGAGAAGTGTGACGCGACAGAGGCCCTGGGTGGCTCGGAAGAGCGTATTGTGGGAAAACCTTGGCATCCAAAACTCTCAGTAAGAAAGTACATAAGGCCCTGGCCAGGTGGCTCTGTTGGTTGGAGGACCGCCTCAGACATGAAAGGTGTCACATTGGATCCCTGGAGGCAACCAATCAATGTTTCTCTCTCCCGTTGATGTTTCTCTCTCTCTCTCCCTTCCCCACCCCCTTTCTCTCTCTCTAAAATCGGTGAACATATCCTCTGGTGAGGATTTTTTTTTAAAAAGTACATAAGAATAGTACATAAAATCTTTAGCTGATTAGCATTGTGTGTGTGTGCATGTGTGTGTGTGCATGTGTGTGTAGTGGAAACCAGTGTTTTTCTCCTGTGACATCACATTCTGAATGTGATGTTCTAGGAAAACATTAATCAATTATTTCAACTTGTATTTTTATGTATGCCTAAGAGTGATACATGATAAAAATCTAAGTAATTATCAACGAACTTTTGCAAGAAATTTATATTAAAATTATTAGGGAAAAGAAAACACTATATCATAAAGTTTAAATGGCAGCATTTTTCTTTCTTAGTGACATATAAAACAGCGGAGTGCAAGAGCATGAAAGGAGGCCCAGGAGAAATGAACTATGGCTCTTAGCCCCAGCTACATAAAAGCAGGAACCCCTGGTTTAACAAACCTAAGAAATCTAACTACGCAAATGGATTGCTTATACTACCTGGAGCTCTTTGGGAAGACTATAAACAAAAAAATCTCAATGTTAACTGAAAATTATTCAATTATATTACAAAATTATATTACTTGGAAGATGTTTTCAAATGGCTCAAAATTAAAGGATGTCAGTGTAATACTGGCTCCATAATTATCTTCACAGATAATGTTACTTCTAAAAGTTAATGATGTAGACTCATACTGGTAACCTTAAGTAGGAGGTTGCCAGGCAGATGGAAAGTTTTCAGCTTTGTTTTCTCCCTTTTCCTTTTCTCCTTCCACAATGAGAAGTAGCCACCTGTCTGCTGGAATATATTTGGATGGAATATTTTTACTTTTCTTGGTTAGAAACACTTGCTTAAACAAAGTAACATGTAAAAGACTTGATTCTATGCTAACGTAATCACCTAATTTTAAGTTTTGGAGTAACCATTTGATTGATTTCCTAGTCTGTTTCTTTTGTGACCATATAATCCCTTTCTCAATGCTGCATGCAGTGTGAGCTACAAGCACTCCTGAGCTCAGGAAGCACAAAGGCCCCACTTTACACAAATGTGAATTAGGGACAAAGGAAGATTGTGTCCATTCTTGCAACTGTTATTGCTGTTTTGTGCTTCCTATGGGTAGCAAAGCAATCCCTTATTTTAAAAACACGCACTCACCCTAGCTGCTGTCTTTTCCATTGGCTACTTGGAGAAGACAAGAAGGAATTCTTTCCCTTAGATTCTATCTCTTTGGGATCACTCCACTATTTGTAATAGAAACATGAAGTATTATAAGAGTCTAATTTCTAATTGCAGAATTTGTACTTGAACTCTGCAGTCTTATTTTGCTCTTGGTACCTTCAATCTATCCTTTGTGGTTAATCCGAGGACCTCTATGTACTCTCTTTAAAATCTTTAGCTGATTAGCATTGTGTGTGTGTGTGCATGTGTGTGTAGTGGAAACCAGTTTTTTTCTCCTGTGACATAATTTTTTCAAGAAAGTTGAAGTGCTTTGCAAACAGTTTCTCATTTATCAGCCAATCTATATAGTGAGCAATGTTAAGTGAATCCCTTCCCTTTTTATCTATTGTCTTTCAGTGATTGTCATGAACTCATGTCCGCACAGAGTCCCTGGTTTGGGGTGGAGGAGACCCAGGGAGTGGGGAGGAGAGGTGAAGAGCAGAAGCTGCCTGCCTGACCACAGAATAGAATTGACTTCTGGGGCAGATTGGTCTCAACACCTTCATTCTTTATGAGCTCCTAGAAAAAGCAACATGCCTTTCTGATTTGTGGAATTATTTAGTTAGTACCCAGTAGAATTTATAAGCCCTTCAGATCTCTGTGGATTTATTTCAGAGTGAACGTGTCACTTTATGGCCCAATTTCCATCCGTGTGACATATTGAACTATTTGGCGGAGGGAGAGGGGAGCAAGAAGACAAGACAGACTGATCATATGTACTGCCACCAACAGGATGACCGCCACACACTCCTGACCAAGGAATGGGCTGAGGCGACCTTTTGGTTTTATTGCTTATCAGAACCCTGAAGCCTGGGTGATTATCATGTATTTTAATAGAAGAGTTTGTCAAATATATGAGTGAAAGAGATATTGAAATAGTGGTGTTAACAGTAATCTGTATTTTGTAAGTAATAAGTATTTTGAATTTAAAAGATGTCAAATGTCAAAGACGATGAGGAATAACCATGTGCCTGATTCCAAATGCTGCCACCCTCAAATTACAGGGGCACTAAAGCGAGACTGAGTTAAGCATCTGGCCCCAGAAATGGACCGGCCAGGCCGGGTCCTCATTAGAGCCCTGTGTTTATAGGAGCACGGTGCGCAGCCGGCCGAGACTCCCGGGAAGCAGCAGCAGCAGCCGCGGGGCCCCCGCCTACCGGGAGCGTTTCGGCAGCGCCTGTTTCAGAACCACTGGGGAGGACAGCTCCCCGGTTCCTCCCAGACGCGGGGCGCGCACTGCGGAGGGGGCCCTGAGCGCGGAGAGTCAGAGCAGGCCCGCGGGTTCGGGCGGCTGGAAGAACTCGCTGCGTCCCTTACACACCCATCCTAAGGGGCAGCACAGGGCTTGCGTCCCGGGCGACACGTCCCTGCAGGCGAAGGGACTGGCCGAAGCAGTGGCGGCCCTCCCCCTCCTGCTGGCCCTGCCGCTTGCCCCGCCCAGCCCGGGTGAGGAGGGAGGGGCGCCCCGCCGCAGGGCCCGCCCACCCCGCACGGCCTGGCTCCCCATTGGCCGGAGGGCTGGAGGTGCGAGGGGGCGGGGCCCGCCCCTGGTGTCTCGCGCCCGGGAAGGTCGGCCGGCGATCGGCGGGTGCTGCGGGGAGGGTGTTGGGACGCGGCGGGCGCCGAAGAGACGCAGCGGCCGCAGGAGCGGCGGCGCCGGGTCCCAGTCGCAAACCCAGCTTCCTGCCGCGGCCCGCAGCCGGCGGCGCCCGAGCTCTGAGAGCGCTTCCCCGGGCGCGAGGCCCGAGGCGGCCAAGACGGCGGGCCGGCCGGGCGCGGGGCGGCGGGCGCTGTGCTGCGGGCTGCGCTGGTGGGGGGCGGCGGGCCGCGGCGCGGGCCCCGGGCCCGGCGCGTGCGGCTGGGAGGCGCTGTGGGGGACGGGCGCGCGGGCGGCGGCCGGGGCCATGGCCGAGGGCGGCGGGGGCGCGCGGAGGAGGGCCCCGGCGCTGCTCGAGGCGGCCCGCGCGCGCTACGAGAGCCTGCACATCTCGGACGACGTGTTCGGCGAGTCGGGTCCCGACAGTAGCGGGAACCCCTTCTACAGCACCTCGGCCGCCTCGCGTTCCTCCTCGGCCGCCTCCTCGGACGACGAGCACGAGCGCCCCGAGCCTCCGCGGGGCCCCGGCGTCCCGCCGCCGCCCTGTGTCCCCGCCGCGCAGGAGCCGGAGGAGGACGAGACTGGCGCGGGCTGGAGCAACGCGCTGCGGGACCGCCCGCCCCCGCGCTTCGAGGACACCGGCGGTAAGGCGCGGCCGGCGGGGGGGGCGGGGGTCGTCCGGTACCCCAGCCGGGGAAGCGTGATTGCTGGGACGGGAGAATTCCAGATGTTCCTTGGGCCGGCTGGCCGAAGGCAGCTGTGCGTTTTAGGAAACAAATGAGGCTGTGGGAGCTGGGATTTAAAGTGTGAGAATCAATCTGACTGCGTGTGTGCACGCGCGGCGGAGGGGGGGGCGCTGCGACTTCCTCGTGGGTGGAGGGGCCGAGGCAGAGGCCGGGGCCAGCATTTTGCAATGGCTGTGGGTGGGGAGTGTCTCCGTGTCCTACATCAGAAGCCAGTCACACCTGTGGGCTTGCATCTCAGGGATGAGTTAGAGGTCGGCTTGCCTAGTTGAGGGGACTCTGAAAACCTGACACGGCTTGGGGAGGGGGCAGTCATTTTGTATTGATTGCTTCGGGCAAGCCCTGCCCAGGTACCAGGGGTCGGGCCGGTAGCCTTTGGAGCGAGGCCCAGCGGCACCTGAAGGAGCATCTACCCATGGTGCCTTCCCTAGGCTTTAGTTTTCTCCAGTTAATCTGAGAAACTTTCGATGTCCGTGCCATTAAGGATCTCTTGCTAAGAACACGAAAGAGTGAAAGGACCCGTTTAGCTGGGCTAAGGTATATGCTCCTACAGCAGAAGGCACTGTCACGGGTGTTCTGCCCACCACCTTGGCCGTAGACTGGTGCCTGACACCCGGAGGAGGTCGCAGGGGTGCTGGCAGATAGGTGACTTCTTGAGGGCCTTTTCACTGCCTGCTTTTGCGGGAGCTGAGCTTTTAAATATCACTACTTACCCACCAGAGGCTCAGCAGCCTCTCTCTGAGAGGTGCCCTTTCCAGCTGGCCTCCGACGCTCTGTTCCTAGCTCTGTGACCTGCTGTGGCAGGCCCTTGATTCTGCACACCCTTGTCATGGGTGGAAGTGTGTGCAACCGGTGTTGCTGAGGGCAGGGAGTGGCCGCGCGGAGCTCGATGGTGCTGATCATGATGTGGCTTTTCTATGGCTCTCCCTATTGTTCAGTCAGGCAGGAATCCAGCACATAGGACGCAGGCCCAGGGGACCCCTGGCTGGTGCTGGCCTGGGATCTGGACATCAGGCTGAAGCCTGCTGGCAGGCTGGTGGAGTTGGCTGGACTCTCTCAGCAGGGAGTGGTCTGCAAACCTCGGGCAGGCAGGCTGCACTGTCGATGTGCTGAGCTGCATTTGAGCTCATAAAGTCCAGTTTAGCTGGGCAGTGCGTGGGGGTGGCTAAATTTAAAAGCATGTTCTCATCTGGGCTTTAGCTGAGTTTTGGAATTTTCAAAGCACATCACTCTGTATACTGCTTTTACATCCCTTACAGTTTTTAGAATGTCCTTATGTCTTCCAGCCCTGGGAGGCTGTTTTTTCCGTATTGGCTCTTTAAGAATTGTACCTACCCAGAACCCTGGTTTGGCAGGCTCGGTGCTAGGAGTATCTGTGATCGTGACCCAGCTTTTGATCTTGGAACACTTGGGACACGTGTCCACCGGAGAGGGAACGCAGCAATCTCCTTACATCTCAGGGGAGAAAAGTGGGCTTGTGTGAGGTTAAGCCCATTTAGGAATAACACTTAGCGTGCTGGTGTAAGAGGATGAACACAGTGGAATACATTTTAAGCAATATTATGTTTCTTAGTACCCTATAAATGGAAGAAATTCTGCAGCAGAGCAATTTAACCCAGCCAGCACAGCACTTACATGGTCACAAAGGGCAGTATTATGTGTCATTTGGCATTAGGTTCAAATTCTGCTTCCTTCAGGGCAGTCCACAGAGTCCACACCTGAACCTGAGAATCACAGTGAGGCACTTTAACCGAAGACATTAGTGGTTATTTGATGGCATTTATCCCCAATTTTGCTTTCCTGTTGTGTGTGGGAATTTACTTTTAAAATCCACCTCTCATGAAGAATTTCCTTTCCTCCGTGTAATAACACCCTTGTCCCTACAGAAAATTTGGGGTGGAAGGATGAGGTTGATGGCTTATTAAGCAGGAATTCAGATTCTCTGAAACAATGCAATATGATTTATGGGGGGGCTGAAAATAGATGCAGAGGTCCGTGGCTGCTCAGAGAAGATCCTTGTGCCTAGTGGCATGGAGAGAGATGGATGTTTTTATTCAGAGGCTGTGAGCTGCATGCTGGCTGCTCCGAGAGCAAAGAGGTTTATCAAAGTACAGTGTCTAAGATGTGCTGAGAGAGTGTGCGCCCCCTTTCAGGGAAGGCATACTGGATCTTTCTCCCACCTTTGTTCCCCAGTTTATTAACAGATCTCACTCGGCTCGTAGAGTGGGATACGGAGCAAGAAGAGGGTGGCATTTTGATCTGTAATCAACCTGCATCCTAGAAAACGTGTATAAGAAATGATCTGGCTGATAGGATCAGAGGAGGAAAGCAAAGGATTCTGGTCTATGGAACAGGCTTCCCGCCTGCCTTCTGTTGTACATACACGTGTACATGTATGTGTGTCCCTGCGTTTTATGTGTAACTGCACTGCTTGTGCTGGTTTGGGCTGAGTAGGGTTTCTTCTATCAGGAGGAGGTTGTAACTGCTGTTTGGGAGCCTTCTGACAACCTAGAACCTTTTCCAGAGAATCCCTGGACATGAGGAGGGGGTAGGCGCTGGGTAACCATCTTGCCTTTGACCTGCATTCGGAAAGTGGGGAGGACACTTGGTGCCCAGCTGAGAGGGGAGGGGAGGGGAAGGAAGAGGTAATCATCTCTGTGGTTAAGGTTGAGACTCCTAACTGCTCTCCAGGCGGTTCCAGCCGTCCCAGACTCTTCCTTCTTTTTCTTCTTGTTTGTTTGTTTCCCAGTGTATCAGGCTCCCCAGAGGTGCAGCCAACAGTTACGGGCGGAGAGGGCTCTCTCCCTCACCCTTCTCCCTCATCCCCAGGTTTTGGCTCTGCCTGGAGGTGTGGGACCCTCGGGGATGCTTTAAATACAAAGACTGTGCCTACGGGGCTGGCAGACAGGCTTTTAACCCCTGCGTAGATGGAGGGTCAGCCAGGGAGCTGAAGCTGCCGCGTGGGAGTTCGGCCCAGATCCTCTTCCCACCAGACTTTGCAGCAGATCCCCCTCAAGTAACCCCTGCAGGCTGCCGGCTACCCTGCGCACTCTGCAAATAACCAACACGGCATGCAAGCTCAGTCTTTGAAAACTGCGTGAGATTTGGGCCTGGCTGCTTTCTGGGCTCCTGCCCTTTTGGTTTTTTACTCTGAGCAGCCTTGTGATTTGTTCTCTCAGAGGAGGCAGAGGAGCAGGCAGACGCGCCGACGCTCGGGGCTGCTGTCTGCTCTGCGTCGCCAGTGCTCAGTCGCGCTGGCTGGGATCTGAGCTGTTTGCTCCTTCTATTAGAAGTTCGACTTCACAGGGGTTTGATTTCCTATGTTCCGTGTTAGCAGCCCTCTCTAATCATTCACTGAGGGGGTATGACCTTGAGAAGCTGGAGAGGAACATATGGCTTTGAAAATTAACACTGTTAAATGTTTCATCTTCAGAGTTCTTGTTGGTTCATTTGGTTTAAAGCCTTTTTGACTAAAAAGTAAGAAGAGGAAAATCTTACAACCAGAATTTACCAAGACCCTCTACTGTATTGGGATTTCTGAGCAAAGCTACCTGGCTCCGGTGTAGGGTGTTAGGTGTATCCTGCCTTTAGCTCTGCGGCTCCAGGAACGTGAATCTTAAATCTCGATAGCTACAAGAGCAATCTTATGCAGTGCTCTGCAATAATGAAGCACGTGCCAGGCCACAGAAACCAAAGGGAGCTTCCTGGGGGAGACGTTTTGCTCTTTCCCGGGAGTCTGCTCACGTGCGAGGGGAAACCTGAGCTGAGAACCCCCGTTTGCGTCTGGACCTTGCTTTCCCAGCCCCTGCGGGAGGGAAGTTGCCTCTGCCTTACAGAGAACGACAGATGGGTCTTCTCAGGCAGAGTCCGGATGCTGATGAGACAGCTGGGGTAACAGTCACCATCCAGCTAGTCAGACTTGATCATTCAGGAGAGGTGCTCCCCCCTTGTAACACTTAGAACTTTTGCCAGTCCAAAGTAGTAATTTTCATATTTATACATGTAATTACTTTTCACTTTTTTGGGGGGTGGCGTACAGTTCTGTGAGGCTTAGCATGTGTGTGGATTTGTGTAAGTGGTCCCTCCCAGCACCCAGATGTGGAACAACAGACAAGGTGTGCTGCAGCCCCGACTCAGCCGCTGCTCCCCTGAGCTGAGACGGCAGGGTGGGAGGTCAGAGCCTCCTCCCTGCAGGGCAAGGCTGTGGATGCACTGGCATTCTGGGTGTTGCATGAAGGCTCCTACTCAGTTTTAAAGCCTAAAGCTCACCTAATTGTATATGTTTTCTCTTATTAACAAGTAACATATGTTCATTTTAGAAAACAACAGTAAGTAAAATGGTAAAATGTTAAGAATTCCCATAACCTCCTGTTACCCAGAGGTGATCGCTATTAACATACTGAGTGCATCCTACCCGTAGCTTAGATTACATATTGGTGGGTGGCCTGCTTTTTAATTCTAATTAATACATTGTAAACATTTTCCACATAAATGTTAACATCGTTTTAATGAATCCATAATACTGTACAGTTCCCTTTGGGTGGACATGGAGTTTACAGCCCTGCCCCCATCTATTTACATATATTTACTTATTTATGTTTATTTTGCCATGGTAAATGTTCTTGAAGCTTAAGGGTATGTGCACATCCTTAACATATTCCTTAGCATACAATGATCAAAACAACTGAGTGGAGGATTTTGCACATTTTAAGGTTGCTGACGTGGTTGTGAGGCAGCCTTCCGGAAACGCACCACGCACAGCGCCGCCAGCAGCGCACCGGAAGGTCCGTTAGAAACCCTGCCTATGGGGCGGCGCACCCAATGCGGGACTTCCGCTCGTGCGGTGGCTCGGAGAGGGGTGCCACCGACCAGCACGTATCGCGGCGTGATACTCCGACAGG